GAACGAGGTGAGCAATAAACGTGATCGAGAGTGTGTCCCTCTCCGGTGTGAGGGGGCGAGCTGCCCCCGGTCACACAACTTTATGTCATCCAGTCCGAGACTGGTGGGCGCGATACCGCGCCGCCGTCGAGTGTAGATTACTAATTAATAGTTAAATCTACGATGGTGCGCATACAAAATTCTCCCTTTTGGTCCGACTACATTCGTCGCCCAATGCCAGCCGTCCAAGTATGGACGGCGGCGGTCCAGAGCGTTCTTATTGGACGAAATGGCTTTCGCCACCTCATGGCCAAAGGCCCTATGATATGCCTATCTTGGCACGCGCGCCACCCCCCCGCGCCCCCGTTAAACGCAGCCGCAGTTCCGTTACACGCGCGGCCCCCGTTCCACACGCGCGCCGCAATGTTGAGCGCAGGCGCGTGCATGCAATTTGGCGAAAGCCAACAATCCAATGAAAAGGCTCCATGACCGCCACCATCGCGAGATGGTTGGCTGATGATGATTTAGGGTATGTACTATTGTAGAAATAATGATTAATCACTATCCTACCGACGACGGCGCAACGGAGCGGCGCGCACCAGAGCCTTGCTCTGGTTGACATAAAGTGGAGTGACCGGGTGGGTCACTGTAGACCCGATCACCAGAGGAGACATCCTCACACATTCTCCATATCCCTGGCTTTGCTTTTTACGGTAGCATCGCGAGTGAATTCACTATCTCCTCGCGCCCCCCTCTTTACACTCCTTCGCGCGCACTATCTTTCCCTTTCTCCGCATACCGCCCACCCCTGCTCGAGCGCAGCAATCTATCTTCAACACAACCGCCTGTGTTATCTTTTCTATTTACTGCGCACCACCACCGCTACCACGAGCTGTGGACGCAGCTGATATAAGTGTCTGCGGACCACAGTACGTCCCAGCTCGTAGTGTCTGTCTACACCTCCCTTTTGTGTAGCGTCAAAGAAATCGCCTGTCTCGTAGTACATTTTCATGCGAACGCATGCCTGTCAAGGAACATCGTGTCAAGTTTGTTTATTGCGGTCAAAGGCGAACTATCTTGGTTTTGTTTGGGGTTATTGTGGTTAAAGTTGGGGTCATCACAAGTCTTGTAATTCGACTTGCGTGGTAGGTGAGCATACCACGGGCCTGAGGTCCGACCTCCGCACTTTTGGAAGCACCTTCGTGGTAGGTCAGCATGCCACGGGCCTGAGGTCCGACCTCTGCACTTTCGGAAGCACCTTCGTGGTAGGTCAGCATACCACGGGTCAGAGATCCGACCTCCTACGGCTCTCTGGGACAGGTAGTTGCAGGGCACTTGGCGCAACACGCGAAATTATCGCAGCACCGACGGAAGCTTCCTTCCAGTTGGAGGTGGAACCGGTCAAACATTTTGGCCGATGACGATAACCACGACTCCCTGAGTAAAGTTCCAAAACTCAAAGTCCCCGCCGACTTCGTCCAATGAAGTCGAAAAATGAAGGCCTACCTCCAGCGCAACGACACTCTCCTCATCGGCCTTCAACCTCGCCCCTCCGGGTGTACGGAATCTTTGTCAAGCACTGCTGTCGAGGATTGGACTCTCAAGGCCGCGCGCGCCAAAGGCAACATCATACTGTGCCTCGGCGACGCACTTGAATTCCAAATTCGTCTGTTTGTGGATGA